GGACTCCCTTGTTCTGCTGGGGGACTTCAACGCTCACGTGGGCAATGACAGTGAGACCTGGAGGGGCATGGTTGGGAGGAACGGCCCCCCCCCCGATCTGAACTCGAGTGGTGTTCTGTTGTTGGACTTCTGTGCTCGTCACGGATTGTCCATCACGAACACCATGTTCAGGCATAAGGGTGTCCATATGTGCACTTGGCACCAGGACACCCTAGGCCGCAGTTCGATGATGGATTTTGTCATTGTTTCATCGGATCTGCGGCCGTGTGTCTTGGACACTCGGGTGAAGAGAGGTGCGGAGCTGTCCATTGACCACTACCTGGTGGTGAGATGGCTCCGGTGGTTGGGGGAGGAAGCCGGTCAGACCTGGCAGGCCCAAACGTGTAGTGAGGGTCTGCTGGGAACGTCTGGCGGAGTCCCCTGTGAGACGGAGCTTCAACTCCCATCTCCGGCAGAACTTCGAACACGTTCTGGGGGAGGTGGGGGACATTGAGTCTGAATGGACCGTGTTCCATACCTCCATTGGTGAGGCGGCTTATCGGAGCTGCGGCCGCAAGGTTGTTGGTGCCTGTCACGGCGGCAACCCTCGAACCCGTTGGTGGACACCTTCGTTGAGGGATGCTGTCAAGCTGAAGGAGTCCTATCGGGCCTTTTTGGCCTATGGGACTCCAGAAGCAGCTGATGGGTACMGGCGGGCGAAGAGGCATGTGGCTCGGGTGGTCGCTGAGGCAAAAACCCGGGCGTGGGAGGAGTTTGGAGAGGCCATGGAGAAAGACTTCCGCATGGCTTCGAGGCGATTCTTGTCCACCATCCGGCGTCTCAGGAGGGGGAAGCAGTGCAGCACCAACACTGTTTATAGTGGGGATGGTGTGCTGCTGACCTCAACTCGTGACATTGTGGGCTGGTGGGCGGAATACTTCGAAGACCTTCTCAATCCCACCAACATGCCTTCTGTTGAGGAAGCTGTGGGGACTTTGGGTTGGGCTCTCCAATCTCTGGGGACGAGGTCGTTGAGGTGGTCAAAAAGCTCCTCGGTGGCAGGGCCCCGGGGGTGGATGAGATCTTCCCGGAGTTTCTTAAGGCTCTGGATGTTGTAGGGTTGTGTTGGCTCACGCGACTCTGCAATATCGCATGGACATCGAGGGCAGTTTCCCTGGATTGGCAGACTGGGGTGGTGGTCCCCCTGTTTAAAAAGGGGGACCAGAGGGTGTGCTCCAATTATAGGGGGGTCACACTCTTAAGCCTCCCTGGTAAGGTCTATTCAGGGGTCCTGGAGAGGAGGGTCTGTCAGATAGTCGAAGCTCGGATTCAGGAAGAGCAGTGTGGTTTTCGTCCTGGTCGTGGAACACTGGACCAGCTCTACACCCTCAGCAGGGTCCTGGAGGGTACATGGGAGTTCACCCAACCGGTCTACATGTGTGTTGTGGACTTGGAGAAGGCGTTCGACCGTGTCCCAAGGGGGGCCTTGTGGGGGGTTCTCTGGGAGTATGGGGTACTGGGCCATTTGATACAGGCTGTCAGGTCCTTGTACGACCAGTGTCAGAGTCTGGTCCGCATTGCCGGCAGGAAGTCGGGCTCGTTTCCGTTGAGAGTTGGACTC